CCGCTCTGGCCGCGCGCGGACGGGACGGCTTCGCAGAAGAAGGGCCTCCAAAAGGGGTGGGGCCGTTGTCGCGTGGGCGTGGCGGTGCGGGGGAAGTCCCCCCGGGGCACCCCGGCCGGCGCTGCTACGGCGCATGCGTGCATGTCGAAGAACGGAACGGCAATCCATACTGGCCGGGCGCGCGCTCCGCCGCCCACATCAATGCGACAACCAGGCCATGTCCGTCCGGCCCGGTCGGTACATGTGGCCGCCGCGGCCCATCCGTGTGTCCAGAGTTCTCAATCAGGTATCCACACGCAAAAAAATAAAAAATAAATAATTAAGAGTAAAAAAGTTCATTTGCTAAAACATCTAAAGATAGTCTGCTCTTTTCTGTCCAATGGGAGGGGTGGATAACTCCCCTGCCAAGTGTACACCCTTAATTCTGCCCAATTCAAACTAATTCAGTCCAATTCAATTTAATTCAATTTAATTCAAAACTAATTCAACTAATTCAGTCTAATTCAAGGAAATGTACTTTCAATTCAAGTCAATTCAATCCAATTCACGCTAATTCAGTAACAGAAAATCGCAATAATTCCAACCAATTCAAAACCAATTCAACCAATTCAAATTAAATTCAACCCAATTCAAGCTAATTTAAATTCAATTCTTGAAATTTGTACACCCAATTCAGGAGTTATCCACCCCTCGGTCCAATGCCAGTTCTGAAGAAATAGCTCCAGCAGCAACAAAACAGTTTATCTGGAGAAGCAAAACATTTGCCAAGATACTAACAAAAATGCGTTTGCTGTAACAGCAAAAAAAAAAAAAGGCAGCAAAAACAACTTTAACTCTTGGACTCTACTTTTGGCGACAGGCCCGGAATAATGTATAGAGAAACGACAGGTGGGAGTGAGGGAGAACTTCAGTGTAGAAAAAGGTAACAGCGAGAAAGTTACGTCCGTCATTTACAGTTACGATACGAAATTGCCCACTTCGGCCTGCGCAAGCTCCGATAGCGCCTGATAGGTAGGCAGAGTCATGTCTGCGCTACATGAGTGCATTGCGGGGTGGCCTACCCATAATCTCGCAGGCGCCGAGCTTCCGCAATTAGATGTATACATTTTAGTAAAACGGGAGTATAATCTCAGAACGATCCCTAAAGATTGAGAACTCTTTGCTGCTCGTCACGGGCCCCACCTGCCCGACCGCGGGAGGGCGGGTAGGTCTCGCAGCTCAAGAGGCAAAATGAGTAATAACCTCTATAGTGGGCGGGCGCCGTCCGGTCCGAGCCAGAGGGCGGGGCGCGGGCGGGGCACGGACCCTGCCGGCCGGAGCAGAGAGCGCCAGGACGATGGATGGCAGATGCGGGCAGATGGTCGCCGCCCCCTTTCCCCGGGTGACCGGGTCACGTCCGACAGATGGCCGCGAGCACGCGGGAGGGCCGCGGATGGCCATCCGCGGCCGACGATGAGAGGGTCGTGAGGGGTCGATGTCGTCGTCGTCGACCCCTCCGGGTAAGGCGCGCTCATCACGCATTCGATTGCATCGATTGTGTCGTCCAAACCAATTACGACGGAGAGAAAGAGGGGCGGGAGGTTAACAGCGTGCGCGAATCACCTCGTCACTCGTCGTCGTTGACACCCCCTCCAGGCCGAGCTTGAGCCCCAACAACTCCGTCCTGCTCCCCCC